AAAGAAAGAAAGAAAGAAAGAAAGAAAGAAAGAAAGAAAGAAAGAAAGAAAGAAATAGATAAATACATTTAAAAAAATGAATAAATAAATATCTCAGAGAACCAGATAGCGGTAATTTTAGTGTGGTTTCTGGGACATTTGGTTTTCCTATAGGGCTTTGGCATTTTACTCAAACAGGAAAAAATAGAAGGAAAACGAGACAGGGGCAGACCTAGAGAAACTTATAGAAGGTTTAACTATGATTTCTTTGTGGAAGTGACGAGGCAAATATACTGAACGCCATTAAAAACGCAACACTTCGTTCACAGAGTCTGGACACGTTTGTATCAAATGAATATTATAGTTTAAAAGAAGTGTTTTTTTAAGTTTATTAAATTTTCAACAAGTTATGCGAACCATTTTGATCACATACTTAAACTGATTTCGATACACTGTCCTCCTTCTTTCAGAGTACCCACTTAAGGCAAATCTGCAGATAAACACAAATCAAAACTCAATAAAGATCTCTCACCCTTAGTACTGTATGGCCTTTATTAGCATTTATACAAACCAAAGCACTTCTTCAAATGGATTTTATAACCTTTTCAAAGTTTTGTGGAGAAATACTGTCCCACTTTCGCGGCAGCGCAATCTCCCAATAGCTGCTGATTCGCAAAACGGCAAACACTTTGCTGTTCAGTCAATCCCTTACGTGCATTGTTGGAGACATGTCCGGTACGTACACTGGTCAGTCCATGACACTCATGTAATGATCTTCAAGAAACTGTGTTGTTTGTTAAACGGACAGTGTAAGGGCAGGAGTGTCGTGTTGGATGACTGAGAGATTCTGATCTTTTTTCTTTGCGCTGTTTCACACCAAGAAGACGGCGCTGTTGTCGCAGCTTCGTTATTTGCAGTCCTAAAGAAGGCGTTCTTGGTCTAAGTCCTGTCGAACTACCTACTCCGCGCCTCACACTGATGAAGGAAACATTTTCACGCGCTCCATGCATGCCTCGAGCTGTTACTTTTGAGGAACGAAACGATTTCGCAGATGCGACAGTAAATTCTGCCTCTCTTGAACACGGCTGGTCACTCGAGGCTGTCCTATTCTTTTCCCATCCATGAACATTTCAAGTGTGCTAAAATCTTTGTATAAGTCGTGAACAATACAAGCACCACATTTTAGTCGTGATGCTGCTTCTCAGGCAGATTTTCCGCCTTGAACAAGGCGGAAGCGAAAGTTGCGAAAAACTTCGTTAAGTTGAGGAGTCTTGTAATGAAAGAAGGTTTTTAAAAATTAATTTTTAAAAAGCTAGGACTTTCGTTTGGGAAGAGCTACGGGTCATCTTCCAGGTAAATAATGTTGTATTCGTTTTTAATGTAGCAACTAATGAACACTTTTTACTAAAGTATGGTTTACTGTATTGTGATGAAAAGTACTCATGATAATAGCAAAACTCGTGCATGGGTGTGTGGATTAACAACTGCTTACTTGTGTCTCCAAAAATCGTGACCATCAGAGCATATTTAGCTTTTTTAAACAACTTTTTGAAAACGTTGCATTTTTAATGGCGTTCAGTATATATTACATACATCTTAATAGTGAATGAAAAGAACTTAATCAGCTGACTGTATGCAATGGGATGAATTCTCACAGTTTGGCTGAAAACTCACGTCGCGTCTTATTTGGGCTTCGAACCCTTGTCATCCTTGCTAGAGCCCAGCATTATACCAATTGAGATAACGGAATACCCGATGCAGCGGTAAAACGAGCAGTAAGCAGCAAACAAAGATATAATAATTTTATCATAAATAACATTAGTAAAGAAAAACAGCACCACATTATAACGAAACTCCAGTATTGAAAAGAGTAAGATTAACAATTATTGCTTTTATATAGCGAATGTCCACGCTCTATAGCAAGTTCTATGCGTTTTGCAACTACAGTTATATTACAGGAGAAGAACAAGATTAAGATTCAGAAACATTCTCGGCTTCGAGGGAAGGAAACAGTGAAAGCTGCGGATTACACGCTCTGACACACTAACAAACTGAACAGATATTTCGCTGTCTGAAGCAGAATTTTTTTAGATGGACATAAAGGGGTTGAGCCCCCCCCCCCCCTAAAAAAGAAAATCATCCAACGGGTGGACACGTTTTTTCGTTTTCATTAACTATAAATCTACCGAAGAAGTGCATAAATAATTACAAAAATAATAATATATAAACTAACGACCTTATGATTAAGAGTGCGAGGGCCTATTATAACTATTCGACCACCGACAACAGAAACTGACGCCATTATGAAAAGTAGATGAATAATGTGAACAACATTATTTCAAGTCTTATCTACCTACTACTTAAAACTTACGCTATAAAAACGGAAAACCCCACCTACGACCCAACACCAAAAGTAGATAAATGGATACATTAATACCAAATGAACAATCCGTTAGAAGACAATACACGCATAGAAGTGACAATGAAATAAATACAATGAATAAGACAACGAAGCATTTGAAATAAAATATCACGATGCGGTGTTATCAGGCGTTCGTCACATTTTGGACATTATGGAGTTTTGGTATGACCTTAAGGCCTGGCTATTTGACCTGGTTTTGATGAAGAAAGTACCCATGTATCGTGAATATAAATCGATCTATTTATTTGTTGTGAAAGTACGGGGGGGGGGGGGGGTGGGTGTCTCTTTACGTCAGAGGTAAAACTAGCGAGACTTCCTAAGCTGTTGTGTCCTGTAAACTCCAAATATATATATATATATATATATATATTTATATATATATTTATAATTATATATATATATTATATATATAATCTATATATTATATATATTTTAAAAAAATATTTTTTTTGCTTTTGATCAAAGATTTTCAGTACAATCCACGCAGAATTTTTTTAGATGGACATAAAGGCGTTGACCCCCCCAAAAAAATTAAAAAAATAATCCAACGGGTGGACACATTTTTTTCGTTTTCATTAACTATAAATCTATCAAAGAAGTGCATAAATAACTACAAAAATAATAATATATAAATAACTACATGAGAGAAATAAAAATAAATAAAATACATCGATAGTTATAAAACAAACATCAAACAAACAATCAATCGAACAAACAAACAAACAGATTCCGTAAAGAAACGACCCACCTTCCCCGTGCTGGCCTTGACATATCCAGGCCTTGGAGAACGCCACGGAGAAAGCGTCCGCGTCTTGCAGCATGACGCTCAGGTCCAGCACGATGACGGAATCTTCCTCACAGTAATACTCCACTGTCACCTTGCGCAGCTGTTTCAGCACGCTGGGCGCCTTGGTGATGCGCACGTTGGATGTGTGCGTCTCTTGGTGGTCTCTTTCCAAATGGCCGAAGTCTGCGTCCAGAATCACTTCCTGGCTCTGTGGACGAAACAAGTTGAATGAAATACTATGTAATGTGAACACACGATGGTGATGATGATGATCATTATAATAATAAAATCAATGATAATAATAATAATAATAATAATAATAATAATAATAATAATAATAATAATAATAATAATAATAATAATAGTAATAATAATAATAATAATAATAATAATAATAATAATAAATGATAATGATGATGATGATCATCATCATTATAATGATAATAATAATAATAATAATAATAATAATAATAATAATAAAAATAATAATTAATGATAATGATGATAATGATGATAATGATGATAATAATGATGAAGATAATGATGATGATAATATTAATAACAATAACAATAATAATAATAATAATAATAATAATAATAATAATAACAATAATAATACTTGCTTATATACAGAGCATATCCACGCTCTACAGCATGCCCTATGCATTTAACAGTATTATTACACCAGTAGACCCTTTTAGAACACTTGAAAACATTCGGGGCTTCCCTGGAATAAGTCATTAACTCATCATGGTAGGTGAGACGGGTTATTTGTTGTTCGTTTGGGGTTTCTACAACATCATGTAACAAAATGTGTTAATTCGTTGCGAGGTCACACCTTTGCTTTTAGAAGGGGTTGGGGAGGGGAGGGGGGGGGCATGAGTGCTTGGGGATGAGGTATGATGGTTTATGTGCTACGTTTTTACGATCTAGAACTAGTTAGTTCATTATGGTAGATAAGAGGGGTTATTGGCTGTTGGCTTGGTGTCTATACAACGTCGTTAATTAATCCAGTTTGGACACTCGTTGCTTAGATTACACATCTTTTTAAACTTGAAAAGCAAAAAAAAAAAAAAAAGAAAAAAGAAAAAAAAAAGAAAAAAAAAAGAAAAGAAAGAAAAAAAAGGGGTTCCCCTTTTGCATCGAATTTTCATCGAATTATTTCTTACCGCAGTCACGATCCTTGAATACAGTACTGCAGCGAGTACCACTGAGGCGAATGACGTCATATTGTAGATATAGTTCCTTCCTGTCATCTCGCTGGTACTCTCGTATCCAAGAACACAATCACAAAGGTAAAATACACAGTTCTGTTCTCTTGTTCTTTTGTTTTGTTCGTTTGGTGTTTTTTTGTTTTGTTTGTTTTTGTTCTTTTTGTGTGCTTTCTTTCTCGTTCTCTCAAGGTTGTTTTTTTGTCTTTTAGATTATGTTACAGTTGATCTTAAAGCATGTCTAATTCACGAATCTCAAGATCTGCTGATTGTTAAATCATTGCAGGATAGTATTATACAAAAAAGACTATCATCGTAAAGAGGAATAAGGGGCCACAGACATGATACTGTTTAAAAGAAAATGGGATAACTGTATTGTTGCTGTTGTTGCTGTTTTTTTAAAAACTGTTGTTGTTGTTGTTGTTGTTGTTGTTGTTGTTGTTGTTGTTGTTGTTGTTGTTGTTGTTGTTGTGGATACTGCTATTGTTGTTGCTGCTGTTTTATGATTGTATTTTTGTGTGTGTGCAGGAACTGTTCCTTCAGTCAAAGACAAAACGAAATAAAACAAAGCGAAAAACCAACCACCCAAACGAAAAAGCAACACCAAAAACTCCGAACCTCTCAATCCCTACACCCCCCCCAAAAAAACAAACAAAAAAAAACAAACAAAAAAAAACAAAACAAAGTAAAATGAAAAATTAACATTTAACAAATAAACAAACAACAAAAAACCCGAAAATTTAAAAAAACAACAAAAAAAACAACCTAACAACAGTCTCAAAACAAACAAATCAAGCAAAAAAATAAACACACCTCCTCTTCTTTCTTCCCTCTCCCTTCTTCCCTCTCCCTTCTTCCCTCTCCCTTCTTCCCTCTCCCTTCTTCCCTCTCCCTTCTT